GGCCGGTGCATTGGTCAACCCGAAGGGCATTACCAAGAATTCATAGTGGCCTTCATGCGTCCTGTTAGAGTATAGATATTAGTATATTTTATATTCTTGTATTAATATTAATTTGTCCTTTACCTTCTCCTTATAGGATTAGGTCAACCTTGTATATTTGTCTATATATATAAACTTTAATAATGAGAATAAATAACATTGGATTCTCTCCAATCTTAGTCTCTACACGTCCTAAATGCTGTTTTTTGAACAGCCTTCGGTGCCATACGGATTTGATGGTAGCCCGATCGCAGGTCAAGCTTGGAATAGATGCGGGAACCATGGAGTTCGTCCAACAACTCGTCTATCACCAGAATGGAGAATTTATCTGGTATTGTGACATTGTTTAGGGCTCTGTAGTCGACGCATAAACGCCAACTTCCATCCTTTTTCTTCTCTAGAATGACAGGGCTAGAGTAGGGACTTACACTTGGCTGTATCAACCCCTTTTGGATCATTTCTCCAATCATCTTCTCGATCTCAGCCTTCTGAGCATGCGCATATCAATAAGGTCTAACGTTGATTAGAGGTACTCCCTCTTTAATCTCAATCATGTGATCTATGGTTCTAGGAGGTGGCATCTATTCAGTGGATTGAAACACATCGTGGTATTCTTCCCGTAATTGGAAAATTTCCGGCGACCAGTTAGGGTCCCTCACCTCCAACTCCGCCACCTGCCCGACTCCTTGGGCTGTGATAGCTCATAGTTCCACGAAATACCCTTCATCGGTATCTTGCCACGCTTTTGTCAATCGCTTAAGAGATACCTCCAAGCGTGCCAGAGTAGGTTCCCCGTGCAGAACAATCCTTTTGTCTCCCCTTGCGAAGGACATGGTTAATGCTGGCCAGTTTGTTTTCATTTTTCCCATTGATTGTAGCCATTTCATCCCTAAGATCACGTCAAGGTCATTCAACTCTATAGGCAAGAAGTCTTCCACCACGGTGATCTCTGGAAGTTCAAGCACTACGCCACAGCATATCCCTTGCCCTTTTAAACCTGTCCCATCAATGATTCCATAGTTATAAGTATCGGATTGAGGAATGTTTAAATCACTAACCAGTTTCTGTGATAGGAAGTTGTGCGTCGCGCCACAGTCCAACAGAACTACAACCTCCCGGCATAGCAACACTCCGCGTACTTTAATCATTCCCGGAGTTGTTAATCCCACGATCGTGTTCAAGCGACACATTACTGCTTTGCCTTTTTCCAAAGATCGTTCGTCTCTCTCCCTGAGTGGCTCCTCCTCCTCTTTCGGCTTTCACTCATCGTCATTGTGTACCACAATCACTCGCAACTGCTTATTCTTGCACTTATGCCCCACAGTGTACTTCTCCTCACATTTGAAGCAGAGGCCATGCTTTTTCGCTTCTTGTATTCTTCTTCTGTCAATCTTTTGTAAGTGGTCTCCCGCTTGGCCGTCGTCGTTGGCGAGGTTACCGGGGCGACGTTGGACTTACTGGCCAGGGTGACCGTTCGAGTTGAGGTAGGCTCTCCCGTTTTGGCTGCCGATTTTCCCCCCACTGCTGCAACCTTCGTATTTCGATCTAAGGCTCTTTCCCCTGCCTCTTGGACTGCGGTAGCTATGTCCTCTACTAACTGAGCCCGCTTCATGATTTGTTCCAGGCCATTGGGCTCTGTCGCCAAGACTTCCGCCCGAACCACCGGATCGAGGTCGTTTAAGAACGCACACTCTAAGACTTCATCAGTGAGGTGGGGAAGAGGTGCCGACAGGGCTTCGAACGTATCGATGTAATCGGCGATGGTTCCTTCTTGCTTAATCGCAAGTACCCGTGCGCATTGGCGCTTCTCCTTAGCCTTCCGGAATCGCATCAACAAACGGCTCCCCAGGTTCTCCCAACTATTGAACCGATTCCGCTTCTCATGGTAACGATACCATGTCAGAGCCACTCCGTCAAAGCTTATCACAGACACGATATGCTTTTCTTCTTCAATTAGATGGTGGATTTCGAAATACCTTTCAGCGCGGAATAGCCAAGAATCAGGATCCGGGCCTGTGAAGATGGGCATCTCCACCTTTTTGAACTTGCTGCGATCGTATCCTTGCTCATGGATCTGGATTACCCTGTGGGATCAACCGCTTGCTTATCTTTCTGTAATGAAGTCTCGCCCAGCTGCGAAATCGATGAGGAGTTTCCGCCGGTGACATCTGCTATGAACCCTTCCAACATCGCTTGGATTCGGTTCGCGTCTTCTGTTGTTCATCCATCTTACCATACAGGGACGCGACCACCACCTTGAGGTCGACGATTTCTTTCTCGGTTGTTTCACATCTGGATTCCAGTTCCTTCACGATCATCTTCAAGTTCTTATCCCGATATCGAACTGCTCTGATACTAATTTGTGAGGAGTAACCTCACTTTTGGTATTAAAATGCGAAAGAAACAACCCGAAGGCAATACACAACTGACCCACCTATTCGAGAGGGTGGGTATTCTCTCCCTTACAGCCTTTTTGGCACTCAAAAAACTAGACTCTCCTCCTCTTACCGTACTCGTCCTTTTTCTACCAGCACACTCGAACCCAAACACTTAACAAAACTGTTATCCCTAAACATTCTCTTACATCATTTTGTCCAGCTATATCACCTTGATGGATTTTTAGATTGTCCTAATAATGATTCAATCTCGTGTTATTGGTGTTGATCATATTTCTCCCATTATTGGTGATGGTATTACATCATCTCCTACTGATGATGTTGCTCAAATTTCTTTTTGCCTATTATTGATGGTAGGGTGGTCATCGGTCGGTCGGAGTCGGTTTTGGACTCAAACCGCCGCCGACCACCGACAAGTTCGGTTTTCGTCAGTCGAAGTTCGTCGGTTTTAGAAAGTTCCACGACTCCGACCGACCAAGTACACTAATGATTGGTCGGTTTTGTTCAGTTTGGTGAAGAGAAATGGGAGAAGGAAAAAGAAAAAAATTAGAAACAGAAGAAGAAAAAAGAAGAAACAATAGAGGGAAGAAGAAGAAAAAAGAGAGAGAAAAAAGAGTAGAAACGGAAGAAAAAAGAAAAAATAGAAAAGAGAAGAAGAAAAAGATGAAGCTTTACGCAAATAAACAAAATAAAAGAAAAAAAGGGATGAGAAGATAACAGAGGGGAGAAGAAAAGATAACAGAGGCCAGAGGGGAGGCGGAAGAGATAGAGAGAGAAGGGAAGAAAAGAAAATAGGAGATAGGATAATGAAGTACGAATATGATGTGAGATAGTAAAAAAAATTGAATATAAAAAATAAATCTGATGGGAAGGTGAAAATATTTTAAATATAAAAAATAAATTACATCAAATAAAACTGAACCCGACTGAGTTACTAAGTAAATCGACCGACCGACATCAATTCGGTCGATTTTAGTCGGTCGGATCGATCGATTTTTCGGAAGCTTTTGTTCAGCCCTAGTTGATGGTACTATTTCTTTGGTTCTTTGTGATGGTGCTAGTTCCTCTGTTCCACAAAGATCATTATGTATTGTCAAACATCCATTTTACTTGCCAGATTATCATTATGCTCTTTTGAAAGGGGACTCTCCACCTCCATTTTTTTACCAAACATCCCTTACAGAATTGACATTATATGGATTTGAGGGGGTGTATATGGATTTGTCTCTCGGTTATAATCCAACTGATGTTGTTCATCGATAGGGGGAGCGTTTAGTCTGTCGTCTTCAAAAATCCATCTATGGTTTGAAAAAAGCCTCACGATAGTGGTTTGTTAAATTTTCAGCCACATTGTTATCACTTAGATTTTGCCAATCTAAGGTTGATCATTCATTGTTTTTACGAGGTTCTGGACCGTCCTCGTTTATGTCGATGACATTATTATAACTGGAGCCTCTCTTCCTCTTATTAATGAATTGAAATTGCTCCTTCATCATCGCTTCAAATTTAAGGATTTGGGATCTCTCGAGTATTTCCTTGGTTTGGAACTTGCTCGTACTTCTCGTGGTATTGCTCTTTCTCATGAGTGGCATTATACTTTGTCACATTTGGAGGATGTTGGTTTACTAAGTTGTAAACTTGTTTCATTACCTATGGATCCTAATATCCACCTTCAAGCTGCAGATGATTTTGAGCCTCTTCATGATGTTTGTTTCTATCATTGCCTTGTTGGCCAGTTGTTATATCTGACTATTTATAGGCTGGATATTACGTCTGCAGTCAGCAAGTTAAGTCACTATGTTTCTCGTCCGAGCAAAGCTCACCTTTTTGTTGTTTCTCATCTGCGGCTGTATTTAAAGAATTCATCTAGTAAGGGAATTTTTCTTTTTGCTTCATCAAATTTTCAGTTGCGTGCCTTCTCTGATGCAGACTGGGGCTCTGGCCTTGATACCTGTCGATCCACCACTGGATATTGTGTCTTCTTGGGGGAGTCCATGATTTCTTGGAAGGTAAAGTAGCAGACCATCTTGCGTTCCTCAGCAGAGGCAGAGTACAGGGCTTTGTCAGCTACGACATGTGAACTTATTTGGATTTCGAGTCTCTTAGCAGATATGCAGGTCATTTTTCAGCCTCTGGCCCTTAGTTTCTGTGATAGTGAGGTAGCTATCCACATGACCTTAAATCTCAAGTTCCATGAACGGACTAAGCATATTGAACTTGACTGCCATTTCATTCGTGAACAAATTCTTAATAGTTTTGTTCGTCTACTCCCACTTCGCTCTCATTTGCAGCTTCCTGATGCCCCCACTAAGATTCTTTCTTCTCCTACTTTCAGTTTTTTACTGTCCAAGATGGACTTAGTTGATGTTTATGCTCCATTTTGACGGAGAGTATTAAGTTAGTTTCTAACTAATTACGTTAGTACCTTATTGTATGGTTTATATTTCTGTTTATGTAACAACTGTACTCTTTTGAAGTAATGAGAATATTCAACTTTTTCCCATTCCATTTCTAATATGCTGAAAAGTCTATAATGTTACATAATTAATCAATTGGGTTGGGTACCTCTTTGACTTCTTCTTCCGTGACTCTTACATCTGCATCTGTATCCACCCTGCAGTATCAAAAATCCAAATGGGGGATGATTTAGATTTAGATTTAGATTTAGGAAATTAATAAATAAGTAAAGGTTTTTTTTTTGTGGTGTGTTACATGTCAAAGAAAGTCTGAAGCTTGGAATCGAAGCTGTCGTCGGAGATCTGTTCCCAGAAGTCTTTGAGCTGTGCTTTGTTAATGGAATCGCCGGTAATGTTGCGCTTCCGGGCCAGTGCTCGGAATAATTCTCCGGCGACCTTTTTGGATTTTTTGTTCATTCCTGTGACAGTAAATTAGAATTAATTAGAATCAGAGATAAAATTGGAATTGGAATTGGAATTGGAGTTGGGTGTTGTGTTGTTACCTATGCAGTCTCCGAACAAGGAGGAGGGGAGAAGGCCGTAGGAGGCGGCGGTGAGTTCATCGAAACGCTTCTCAACAGGAGCCCAACCGGAGCCGGTCTTGGTGGCGATGAACTTGAGGGCCTTAAGGGCGTGGGTGGCGCCGGCGGAGTAGGGCTTGTGAGGCCTCATTTGGGGTCATGGACAAACAAATGAACAAAGTCTGCAGAGAAATGGAAGTCAAATTAGGAAATGTTGGAGTCTGGTTTTGGAAGCAGAAGAAAGAGGATAGAAATGGAAGAGAGAGGGAGGGGTGCTTACAAAAAACGGATCTAGGAACTGCTCGGAAGCAGGGTTGACCTCATCCCACTGTTTGATTATTTGCATATTCATTCTTTTTTATTTCGGACGATTATTACTATTAATTTTTTCCTTCTCTCTCTAAATAACATTTTAAATAAATACATTTTTCCGTTGGGTAGATGGATATTAGTTAATTATATAGTTTTCTATTTTTTTATTAAATTACAAGTTTGCCCTTAAATTTGTTAAGTTGTGCCATAGTTCTAGTAAATTTTGGAAATTATCAATTTTTTTTAGAGTACGATAATATGTGAGAGTTCAAATTCGAGCCTGACTTAATTAATTGAGCTATACGTTGATACCAAATTGAATGTATGACAAATGAGATAATTTTGGGTAGATTAAAAGAATTAGTTTTTTTTTTTTTTTGCAAGTGAGAAAAAGATGAGGAAATGGAACAAAATCAACCTGCATAAATACACTAAACTTAACCATGTAATTTTTATATGATGACCAATTAAACTATCACATAAACATCAAAGTGATCAAAATAACAATAAACATCAATTAAGCATCAAATTATAAATTCGAAGATTTATTAGAACATCATTTTAAATATCAAGAACTAAACAAATTTTTAAAGTTTAGAAATCCATTAAAATCTTAAAGTTTAGAAATCCATTAAAATAACACTTTGACGAGTAGATTTGTTGAGGGTTAAATTTGTAATTTGACTTTTATTATGGACAGTCAGGAAGGTGAGAGAAATTTAATACGCAATTGAAGATCCATAGGCAAATTTGGAAAGCGGTGCAAGAGAAATGGGAAAGTGAGCCCGCAACCAAACCAATCAACCCTTCTCTCTCCTCCTCTTTTTCTTTCTTTAGGATTAAATGATCTTGGACTCAAATCCATCATTTTCACCTAACATGGACTTTCTGAGCTGCACTTCCTTTATTGTACTAAGAAAATGCATTCATTTTCTTATTGTTTTGGAATTTACTTTTACTTTCTTAGAATTGAGAGGAGAGGAGTCACTTATCTCATTTGAAAATTTTTGTTGCGTGAATGATTTGATCGAATACTTTTGGGCAATGCCCTTGGAATGAACCACACATAATGTTACGGTGTATTGAGGTATGGTTGTTGGTCACTGTTCACGCCTCATGTTATTGACTATATTCTTGAACTGAAACATATCGTATAATCTTGAGAAGCATGTTGGTCAGAGTAGAATTATTCGTTGTAGGCTTTATATCCCTTTCATATATTGTGTCAATCACCACCTCATAAAATTAGTTATGCATTATGTTTGTCATGTCTTCTCAAGGAATGGAGAATGTATATATATCTAGTTTTGTTTCATTTTCTTGTGGAGAAAGAAAATAAAATACATATTATATAGGGTACTAGATTGGAGGAGATCAAAATAATTGCTAAAGCAATAAATTACATTGAATTGAATGAAAGAAAATGATGTACACATATATAGTGCAAAAGGCAGAGAGTGGCCATTCCCTTAGTTTTATTATTGGGATGGGAGGAAGCACTTAGTTTTCATTTCTTCTCTCCCTCCCTCAGTTTTAGTTTCTATTTTCTATCGTTCTTTGCAAGTTAGCACTTTTGCACTAGTGGGGAGTGTCATGGATATTTTGTCAAATCTCTTGAAAGAAAAGAGATTGGATTATATTTTTAAAAGCTTTGATGAGAGATTAGAGTAGGATCAAAAGAATAGAAGAGTAGAAATGACCCAATTTCTTTGGACAAATAACTTTGAGAATTGGTTGCGTAACTCCCCAAGAGTTTATCTCATGTACCTCACTCCTTCTTTAAGCTTAGCTGGAGAAATTTGATGAAATCATCTTTCTAACCACATGTTATTCTTCACGGACATGTTGTTGTGGTCCACTTTGAAGGTAAAGACCTTTTTAGCCTTAGCTCTGAAGTGTCGTTCTTCACGGGAATATTATTGCAGTCTACTTATTGAATGTAAATGACCGCTCCTTTTAGCCTTCAATTTCAAAATGAAGTTCTTTATGGAATGTTGTATAACAGCTCACTTTGTGTAGTGAAGGACCCTTGAAATTGAAAGATTTCCTGCGAGAGAAACGGGACCTTTTTAGTCTGAAGACGACCTTTGTTTCAAAGTTTTGTATAATACAGTTACAATTTTTCTCCAATGTAGCATTGCTTGACTTTGCCCCAGTTTGGAGATTTGTAAAAAGGACCTTGAAGCCTTTGAAACTGATGTCGTTGATCTACATTGATTGCCCCCGTCATTGAACTGAAGGATTGTCGTGACCTTTTTATCTTTCTTTTTCTTTTTCTTTTTCTTTTTTTCCTTTTTTTTTGGCCAAACACAACCTTTTTTTATAAACAAAAAAGGGTGCAATCACATATAAAAAAAAAAAATTGATCCTGCGTAGTCGTCTCTTGTAACTCTGACTGCTGTTCCAGATTATTTCGTTGTTGCTACTCTCATAACATGATGAAACTGTTCTCAAACGAAGCTCATTAAAGAAGATTGAGATCTTGAGACTATTTGTCAGGTCGCTAACTTCCCAATTCTCAAAATCATTATCCTCGATCTTGGAATCACTTTTTACTAAAAAAAAAGTAACAGATGAAGGATTAAGCTTGAAGAACAAGACGGAAGAGAGTTGGGAAGAAAATTTTAGATATGAATAAAAGGAAGTCAAAATACGGAGATGCTTGTGCGACTGTAAGTACCAATTCATGAAGCAGTAAATCATAAGAGCCTAATGTATTTTATTACCTTCTAAGTTTACAGGGTAACACTAGGTGGATAATTTTGGACGTTTACCACACAATTAGATGTGGCAGGCTTAGCAAAAGGCTTTTTATGGTAAGTAGGTAAATATTGATATTCATCACAAAAATTGTATGTGACGGGCTGAGTAAAGAGTTTTTTTTTTTTTTTTGTAGTAAAGGATCAACTCTCAATATTGACCATATTTACCATATATCGGTAGGCTAGGCTCAAGGTAGATTAGTCTCAAAGCGGGCTAGACTCAAGATTTTATAGAGGTGCGTAATCTTGGACTCTTACCTCAAAAAGGAATTTTTGCACCAGCATGGATATTTAGTGATTTACTGGTTCGCACATGGGAAGAAATAGGGAGGCCAACATAAAGTTGTTTGAGTTAAGGTTTAGCCTGAGAACAAAGCTTGGTAAAATGGT